TGTATTCTTTATATATTTTCATTTCTCCTTCTTCCCTCAGAAGTTTGATTCTCTGAGATTTGAGTTGGATTATCTATCTCTGGGAGTAACACTTTATGTAATTTGTTTATCTGCCCGGGCTAATTTACTTATTTACTCATAAACTGCAGTGCCTATTATGTAATAATCATTTCCTCTTTCCTTACAGGGACAGATGGCTGTCAGCTAAGAAACAGACAAGCAGAACTCACATTTTTAGTTCGTTATTGGCACTCGAAGGACGGGCGGAAAAAAAACATCTGAAAGAATAGTCGGACAAGGTCGCAACATGTCAGACTCTGACTTTGAGAGACTGGAGTTTTTCAGAAGCATCCTCAACAGCTGCAGTGCGGGCTCATCGTGTAACAACTCCTACCTCATTTTCCACAACACCAGCCTTGAAAATGGGCTGGACACCCTGGATGATGGATCCCTCTGGTTGAGAATCATCATCTCTGTGGTTTACTTTGTCGTTGCCACAGCAGGAGTGTTGGGCAACTTGTTAGTGATGTTCCTCATGTATTCTACTCACACCATCACCACGGGAACCATCAATTTCTTTGTGTTCAACCTCGCTTTAGCTCACTTGTTCTTCTCCCTCGCTTTGCCGTTTTGGGCCGTGGACATTGCATTAGACTACAGTTGGCCTTTTGGCTTGGCCACATGCAAAGCTGTGTCCCTTCTTACTGGGCTGAACGTCTTTGCTAGCTGCTTTTTCCTCACAGCTATGAGTGTGACTCGCTACTGCTCCGTGGCTACGGCTCTCAAACCAAGGGCCTCCTCGTGCAGCAGATACTGCACCTCACCAGTGGCTACAGCTTTTATCTGGGCTGGAGCTCTCGTAGCAGCTACACCCAGAGCTGTATTTGCAGACCTGAAAAATGTAGGGAGTGGAAACGACGCAGCATGCCTGCTTCGCTTTCCAGATGGCACGGCCTGGCTCGGGATAAACCAGCTCCTGAGAGTGGTGCTGGGGTTTCTGCTGCCCTACACCGCCATCATCGTCTCCTACCTTCTTCTCATGCGCTTTCTCTGCAGGCACAAACTCAAAGGCAGCCACTCCAGGAGAAAGGCTGACATTTCAAAGTCGGTAGCGGTGGTGGTGCTCTCATTTTGCGCCTGCTGGTTCCCTTACAACATCCTGACACTTTGGAGCGTCCTCATCCAGCTTGACATTGCTGATATCAGCCTGTCATTCTATTTGGCTCAGACCTACTTTTTCCCTCTTGCAAACTGCCTGGCATTCACCAGCAGCTGTTTCAACCCTGTTATCTACTGCCTGGTGAGAAAAGAGTACCGCGTGGCCCTGCGCAACATGCTCTTCAAGCTAAGCATGGCTTTTATGTCCAAGGTGCCCTATGGTATTAATGCAGAGGAGGGGTCAGGGCAAGCAGGGCAGCTGGCTATTCGTCTTGACAATGTTTACAGCCAGACGACCCAAACTGACACAAGGAGATACACACCTCTTTCTGCACTGCCGACTGTAGTGTCCACCCTGTAACGCCAAAAAAAAGGTGGTGAACACATGTTTTGCTTTCATGAAAAAAAGGTTGATTCACTTTACTTTGGAAAGTTTGTGTTCAGTGCTTAAGGAGGACCTGTCTTTTCCTCTAATGATATACAACATGTATACTCACAATCTGGTGTAAATACGCTGATTTGTTAAAAACACATAAGCTTTTGTGTCTTTTGTTCAAAGTTCTTCCTGTAAGCATGAAATACAAGTAAACTTTTAGGATCATTCTTTTATATGTTCACTAAAATTTAAAAAATGTAAGATGTCCCCTTTCTATCTTCCTAATATTGTAGAAATACTAACAAAGACAACTGTTCTGAAACAAATGTACACATTTGTCCTCCTGTAGTTTGGGAGTCTAACATTACAGCACCCATAGGCCTGGATGTGATTGTCTTGTCCAGGTGTGAGCACTTTTTGTCCTTCTGTTATAAAGAAATGGATTTAAAGAAAAAAGTGACTGAATTGTCTTTCCTGATTAGTGATGCTTTGAATAAAGGCATTATTTACAACGAGTACACTTGAATTTCAATGTTTAAATTGATGGTTTGGAGTGTGGATGATGAAGAACACGGTTCTGTATTTAATGACAGTCACATTGGAAAATTAATGTCAAACTTCAATCGAACTTGCATGTTTATTTTTTTTTTATGTTATCAGGTTTAACATGTTTTTACTTGCAAAAAACATCAAAGCACCAAGATAAAGATGCAGAGACAAAGATCAACATTAGAATCCAAGGTTAATAATGCAGATCCTTGACATATAAAATTCCTAAGCAGTGAATCACTATCATGGTCAATTCATTGGTAACAGCTAATGTCACTTTGAATGGCAGAAGACAAGTGCATTTCTTTTGTTTCTTTTTTAAATCCAAGTTCCAAGTCTGTACAATGGTTGGCAGGTTTTTAGAATTTGGTTATTTATAGGATACTCCTTTTTTAAATACAAGTTTCAATACTGGTAAGGACAATTAACACTATCTGTCATACTCAAAGTCTAACATCTGAAAATACAAACAGAGTTTGCTGCAGTTTTTACATTTCTATGAATTTTTTTTTTTAAATTTAAATCCTTTTTCCCAAATGTATAATTTCAGTCTAAATTCAAATGTTAAATTACTGTGTGCTTACTCTGCTTTCTACAATCCCAGTCCACCACAAGATGGTGTAGTTGTTCAACATAAAAATCCAGCTATTAGGGACTGTGGAGTTCAGCTGTATTTGTTGTACAGTATAAGAAAAAAAGCTGTGACAAAACTGAGACATATGGACCAATAGGAGCCAATGCAACAGGAGCCAATTTATATTCACTGTAAAAATTTGACGCAACATTTTCAGAAAACCCAGTCAAAATTTTACGAAACACGTCTAGTGAAAGTTTACCAGAGTTTCCAAAAAAATCCCTGGTGAACATTCCTTAAAGTTTCAGAAAAACTGTCCAATGGAATTCCAAGGAAACTTCCAGGACAGTTTCCCTAAACTTTTTTAAGAATTCCTGGAAAACATATCTCAACCAAATCCACAAATATTGCTGGGAGAATTTAAGGACATCAAAAATGTTTCAAGGAAACTAGCCGTTAAATCTCAGTGAAAATAGCTAATTCCTGAGTAATATTTTTAGGCAAATTCCATAAATATCTAATTGTTTAAAGGTTCTGAAAAAAAGATGTCCGAAACTTGCCAGTACTAGTCCTACAAATTCATGGAAAAATCTTTAAAAAAAACTAAAGGGAAAATTCCAAATTTAAATTTCTGGGGAAATTTCCAAACATTATCTATAAAAATTCCAAACATTTGCCATAAAAATAAAAATTAAATTTAGTAAAGAAATTGTACTAATATTTCCAAAGTATCCGTAAAAACTATAGTCAAAAACTCCCACAATTCCTGAACAAAATACCAGGACATACTTGGTGTAGATTCCTGAAGATTTGCAAACAGTTCTCAATCTAAATGTGTGTAATTGCGAGGGATAATTCCTGAAGAAGATTCTCAAAAGTTTTCCAAAGCAGTTTGAAGACCATTTTGACCAAAATCAAATTTGTATCATAATCATTAAGTAAAACCAAAACTACTCTTCGTAATCTTTGACAACTAAGTATTACACAGTTTACAAAATAAGAATATAATAAAGTTTATTTATGAGGATGAACCTAGTTGAGATTGAGAGTCCCCTTGACAAGATTGTCTTGACCAAGTGAGGCAGCAGCACAAAACACATTTCAAGATCCTGCACTGACTTTATAGTAACAGCTTGAATAATTGCAAACATACATGGCCTGCAATAATGCATGGAGTTGGTGTTTTTTTGTCCCTGATTGCCTCTCTATGTGTGTTCTATAGAACTTGTTCTTAGTCTCATTGCTGCATTGATTGAGTTCACCTCTGACCGACCTCCAATTAGGAGCAAAGCAGGAGACAGGAAGCAGACATATGAATATAACATATAACTCCCCTTATCCTCTATCCATTTCAGGGGGAATCAAACACATGTCAGAGGAGTCTAACTGAAGAAATAAACTGCACAGTTGGAGCTGTTGTACTTACTCCTGCAGAGGGCAGTGTGTCAGGCCTGTGACTGTCTGAAGTCCTCCAGCATCATGCTTATCTCTGAGAGCAGCAGAATGCCCGCTTTTAGTTCACTGTTCAAATGACATGAGACATATTAGAAACCAGGATGTAATGAGATTGGACCATTATTTGTTTAAACAGCTTTAGATGCTTGGAGAAGTTAACCAACAAAATCAGCAAACTGGGGAGAAAAGGTTTAATTGAAGCTTAAATTATTAGATGAGGGAGGGCGTCATTTGGGATTCCAAAGCCATACCCCCCTTAGTTACTGTTGCTAGGTCAGAAGTGCTTGACTGTATCGCCTTTACTGTATAGCCAGGGGCTGAAGTGTTTGTTAAGATTTTATTCAGGCATCAGAGTCAAGGCTTCTTTCTCTCTGGAGACACGAACATCTCTACACAACACAAACGTTTTTGTGTGCAGGTCTCAGAGTAGATTTTCAAGATGTTGGTTATGTTAGAGATACAGTAAGACTTGTGTTTGCCTCCCTCAAAACGTTTTTCTTCTGAAGATGTACCTTGTACTTTCTGTCTGTAAGCTTTGTATAAGAATACCAGACTTTAGGAAATCACATTCAGTGTAAACAATAAAGATACAATCCCTTATGTTTATGATTTTAATCTGAGTAGTTAAAAGTGAAAACGCATTTACTGAAGCCAAAATATACTCTCCACTTGACTCTGTTGATTCCCTTTCTTTCAGATGACCTTATAGTCTGATTGCTTGTTTCTCAGAATACTTAGAAATATAATATACCTAATGTGATTGATTTGAAACAATAAAAAAACATGTAATTAAATTCAATGAATGCAATTGTATCCCATATTATAAAGCCTTAATAATAATGATTTTCTCACTGCTGTAGAGCAACATAACACTTGAAACAGAAGATCTTCAATTAGGGATTTATAAGTTTATTGAAATCACTCAGAAAAAAATCACCTGAAAAATGAATACATTCCCTTTGTTCAAACAAAACAAATCATATCAATCAAGTATACTTACACTAATAATAATCATAATTACAAGCGCAATCATACCCACAATAACTACCATTATAAATAAAACTACTGACGTTAAACATCCACCATACTAGAACAGGGGACTGGAGGGTATGGCTTATCCATGGGGCATGGCTTATTTCAAAAGAAAAGTCAAGTAAATTAAGGTTATACATCCAGTAGGCCCAATTCAAGTCAGAAATCCCAACAACTATATATTTTTGACACAGTAGATCAATTGTGCAGAATAATAGCTGCCAAGAAAAATACTTTGATTCATTCCATAATGCTATACATCCATTTTTAGAAACGTAAATATGTTGATAGATGTTAAATACCCTTATTTTAAAATATACAAGATATCTCTTTTTCACGTTTTAGGTCCTGCATTAGCTGCAGCAAAGCAGCTTCTTCTCCTTTGGATCAACAAAGGTTCATATATCCTCTAAAATGCTGTGATTCTGTAAACATAAAGCACTTCTTCAACAGTGGCTTCAATTATATTCCTCACCACGTGTTATAATGCTGAAGCATGGTCTCATTTTTACATTTGAACCAAGAGATGCAACTTTTGCTCCTTTATATGTCACAAATCATACAAAAGAGGGCTTATATTTAACATTCTCTTTATGGGTGAGATGAGACCAAAAAATAAATAAAAAAGCAGAGAAGTAACGTACGCATAGATCCCTCATTTCATGAGCTATTTGAGTTGTACTTTGCATCAATGGTCACTCAGCCAAGATTGCGTTACTATATTTTTGAGCATTTGGCATTTGTTATTGATTCTACACCGCAGGAACTATGAACTATTTGAGTTCGTAGAAGATTAGAGGAACCTTTTTAGCTCCTGCTTCAGAGTAGCTAAAGTAGAAGTGGGGGTGCAAATGCAGACATAAAAAAAAGTCCCCATGGTGTGTAGTTCTCAGGGACTCCCTACAGGATAGATCCTCTTCAAAAAGACCCCAGAACTGATCCTTTTGTGTTCATGTCACACCTGACAAACACATGTAACATAAGCGATCTCAGCGTGAAATTAAAAGCAGATTTTCTTGTGAATGTTATGGTAATGGCACTTAAATAGTCCACAAGACAAACTAGGAATGGCCCGGTGATGGAATTAAAAAATACCCTATTTTGCTTCTTCATTACTTTTCTGGAATAGCAATGAAGATGAGAGTTGAAAATGTGCATTGCTATTTTAGTTAAAGCAATGAAAATGTTTCTAGTTATGAAGATCAATAGCAAAATGTCCATTGCTTTTTTCGTGCTGACTATGAAACATTTCATTCATTTAATAAAATATCAACACCAGAGAAATTACACATTGTAGAAATGGAAATGAAAATTCTGAAAATTCTGATTTTTTTTAATGATCATTGCTAGCGTTAGCGATAGCAATGCAAAAGCAACCAAGAATTAAGCCTAGCTCAGAAAGAAAATGATAACTGTTTGTTAGCACTGGGTCTTACATGAAATAGTTGTTTGGCCACATGGAAGAAAGTCTCTTCTTAGTGTGTAAAGCAGACTATAAAGGATCCTTAAAAACAACAGAAAAGAGAGAGGAGGGCACAATTTCAGAGGTAGCATACTGTACCACTGCAGCTAATCCAGAGAGAGTTTCAAGATCACATGGGAACATGATATATATTTTCACATCTTTATAAACATTGTTGTTCAGGTCATAGAGTGCAGCTTCTACTGAAATGGAAACAGGAGTGCAGTATTACATTTCAAAATACTGTATTGCAATGCAGTCCAAATAAATAAACGCATGTTTCAGAAGATTACTTAAAACTGCAATCCAGTATTTTTGAAAGCACCACTGCTATTTTGATTACACCCCATACATACTGTAGGCGAGATCTTTCCAGAGTTTCTCTGGTTATTCCACGTGACAGAAAATGTGATGAGCTGGGAAGTTATTCAACTCTCATCCCATGAACGCAGTCACGCCATAGCACTGTAGTTTCTGGATTGCAGCATTAAGAGTCAATGATAATATAAGAGTTGTCTTTTTAAACCACAAGTTGAACATGCCTGAAGGCCTACCCTTGATTTGAATACATTTTACATATAAGAATAAATATACATTAAGCTATTTTATACATTTCTGGTAACATAAACATATAACTTTGTATCATTGATATTTATCTCTAAAGAAAATGTCTTCTTAAAGGCAAGAGGTTAAGATAAATGATATCAACCATGAAATCTGGAATATAAATGATTCTGACTAACATACAGAGTTAACCAACACACTGCTTATTAATTTATCACCCGACTACAAAAAAATGACATTCAATGTACAAAGTTTACAAGGTTTTTTTTTGTATGGGCATTGTCATTTTTGGCCTTGTGGCACAGACTGTAAGGCAGTCAAATCCTATGCACATATACTACATTTCCCTGCTTAGAAACTCCTTATTGTTCTGTTGTTTCCCCGCTCTCTCCTCCTTCTGTTGGTCTGCGGTTCCTGCTCCTTTCTTAAAGTACTTGTATGTTGTATAATGCAAAAGGCCCAATGCCACTCTCTTCTGAAAAAATGGAAGAGTTAGCAGGTTGTATTTTCTTTAAAAAAAAAAAAAGAAGAGAAAAAAAAAGGCGCCTTCCTGTGAGAAAGCACGTCAAAGTTTCCATTTTTGTACATTATAATATCTGACAACAAATCAACGTACTCATCCTCGCAGTTTAAAAAGCACATGCAGAAGTGTTGCACATCTATGCTTCAGAAACAGTACACACAACAGATGAGTAATTCACTACTTGCTATAATATGGTTTGTTTCCAGTTGCACAAAATGTTTATAATAATACTTATTGAAATTGATAAATACAGCACTTTTCAAAACAATGTTACAAAGTGCTGTCCAAAAAAAAAAAGAGAAGAAAATGCTAAAAACGAAAAGAAAAGATAAATAATGAAAATGGCAGACCATATCTTTCTTTTTTAATTTCCACGTTGACCCTTAAGTTTTGAAGCCTGGCTACTTTGGTAGGTTTGGAGCAACAGAGTAAAAGATGGGCTGGGGTCCAGCTGTTGCTAAAAGTAATGGAGCCATTATTTTCATCTCTTAGCCTAACCGTTCTGAAGGCATGGTTCAACAGTTATGCAGACTTTGTTTTAGAACGAGGGGAAACTCCAAGATTTAATGTTCCACCCCCAGTAAGTTGGAAGTCTTGTAGGATACAGAGAATAAAAGAATGGCAAAAATGCAGCATCTTTGAATGATCTAATTGGACTCTTCATCCCCATTAACACCCTGAAAACACTTTGTTTCTGGATGTCCTATCTATGTGAGGACAACACATGTTAGTGCACACAGAACACACTGAGCTCTGAATGCAAACAGAGAGCATCTGGAGGGGGTCGGGACCACAATAGCATATTGAAACTTTACCCAACTCCAACACAACCTGCTAGCAGAAAACTACAAGAAATAGTTAGTACTGCTAGTACTGTGCACCATCTATGACCTTGCTTCCTATGGAACCTTGTTTGTTCATCCACCAGTTAGTGAAGTGTTTGTTTGTCCCCGACATGTTTCACAAAGTCTTTTTTACAACTGTGTTGAACGTCGTCACTTTTAACGTAGCTGCTACCTACCTAGGGACTACGGATGTAAGTTAGCATTCATGCTAACTCAGACATGTTTAAATCTTTCATTTTGCACTGGTAGTCATTGGTGTGCTTTCTCCATATTAAACAAACATATACATACATTTGCTTATTGGGATCACATGATTAATACAAAATGGCATGTGGATCAGATGTAATCATCCAGGTACAAAAATCATGCTGGTGTACAGGTGGCCATTGTTCACTGCACAAGTGAAGCTCCAAACATTATGCCACAAACAGAATATTTTCACCAGTCTTCACTGACTACCTGCTTCATAACCATGTCTGTGAAAGTCCACACGCCAATTGTTTTAGACAGAATGTGCAGTTTGAATATCAAATTAAACTAATCTCCTTCAGAGGCTCAGAGGAAATTAAAAAGATATTTTATGGACTGAGAATTGCGAGTTATAAACAGTGGACTGCGCCTTTAAATTCAATATTCTTTCATTTTCACCCATTTTCATTTCATGTCCCGTCGTCATATTTATAACTTATAAAGCACTTTGTATCACTAATTTGAAAAGTCATATATATATCTGAATATGATAAATATTTTTACAAAGTAAACAAAAGAAATAATAACCTTCGTTGAATTGTGTTGCTGTATTTCCATTATTTCAAAGGTTATATCACTTTGAGAGTTTTTATACACTTAGAGTCCAGAGACTGTTGTTCTGTCTTTACACTGTGTGCTGAAGGAACACGTGGATTGTATTTCAAGAAGTGAGTTGATTTGTTTGTGTTTGTTTGTTTGGCATCTCTTTGGATGGAATGGCTCTACTAGAAAGGATGCATCAAATAAAAATGATTTGTATCCTTGTAGGTTCAAATTTCTTTGCATTGCGAACACGTTATTAAAAGATTGAAATAGAATCGAATGGTAACACAGGTCTCTGCCTGTACCCTGTATCCATGGATCATAGATGGCACATGATTATACAACATGCTTGTTGCTCATCACAGGCATCACCAGGAGGGGATATTGTGCTTGTAAAGGCTGTTTTTACATTTTGTCTGCAGCATCTTAAGTGAGAAGCAAGTGTGTGCTGCTTGTAGAGGGAAACATCATGACTCCATCCCCATGACCGGTGTTTCTCCCATCTCTTCTCACATCATATGATTGAATAAAGAAAACCATCAGGTTCAGTATTGCCATTGTTGTGGCATTGGCTTAGATTTCAGTCAATGTGCCGAAGACTCTCTGCACACGTTGGTCCTCACGATGATTGTCATTTTCATACAGGCTAAGTTTGATTATGTGCAAAGTTTGTGATGAAGCCTCCAGTGGACCTGCTGGATGCACTGCAAAAGTTTCTCTTCATGGTTTTTTTTGTGTGGGAGGATCTGAATCAGTCTTCTTACACCCGAGTGACCATCAAGACCTCTGGTCACCTGGAAAGTGGCAGTCAGGATCCTGGGTGGCCACCATAGACCTGGTTGTTAGAGTGAAGGGAGAGAAAAACAAGTGGAATTATAATCTATCTCCAACTCACACCTTTTATAAGGGAACAAGTTTACAGGATTACAGAATGTGTTCATTTATTTTCTCGCTGAGAATCAGAAGAAAAGACCCCCTCTCCAAAAACCACTCTAATGTAAATATCTAGCTGGAGCCTATAGCCATGTAGCTTAGCATGAAGACTAGAAACTGGGGGAAACAACTAGCCTAGAGCATTCAAAAGGCTGGGGTAAAGCTTAGATTACAGATTTAGAAACAGAGAAAGAGTGTATGTCAAACTGTAGTAGTTTTTCTATTGTGTTGCATGTAAACATATATTTAGGCTTTTTGGTGTATATTATTATGAACAGAGGAAGAAAGGCTGGGATGACATTTCAGCACAATGGAGGACAGACAGACAGAGACTCTGCAAAGTTCATGTTTTGGCATTGGCTTTGGCCCACAGTAGCCTATGTTCCATTTTAATATACAATATATTTTTTTATTGATCAATAAATACAAATATCAGACAATCCCATTTGAATTCCATGTGAATATGGAATTGGAGTTGGGACCCCAAGGTTGGGAAAGCCCGCTCTATGCCCCAATCGGAAAATGTGTTGTACAGCTTTAAAAGAGCCTTAACGTTTGTTTGACTTCCTAATGAGGGCTTGATGCAGAATTGTGTCCAAGTTTTTTTAAGGTCTTTATGACCATGCCATGGAAATTAGACACTGAAATTGTTTAAAAAAGAACCTTGTTTTCTCTGTTTCAGTGACTTAGATTTTGAGTTGCTGGTAGGCGGATTTTGTTACCTTTGGGCGAAGTGAGGCTAAGCTACCTAGCTACAGATTTAGGTTATTATCGTAATATCTAATGAATGTTCTAACTCTCCTCTCATCAACAAGGTGAAAATAAACATTTAAAATGTTTTCCTTTAAATCTTAATTCTCAGTTTTCTTTGAAAAGAAAAAGATGACACAAAGAAATCCAGTACTCTCCCACTCTGAAGGAATAGCCCCTCTCAACACTTTCTCGGACAATGATTCTTCTTTAAATGAGTGAAACACTAAGCATCATAAGAAAGTTTTCTTTTCTCTATAACTTGAGCTGAAAAAGGCAACTCGCCAAACAGAATCTCAGGCCTCATAAACAGTCTAGTTAAAGAGTTTTACGCTTATAAAGCAGGATTAGATGTCCATGTACTCACATGTGTTAAAAAAAGAGTCTGGTGTAAAAATAGCGCAGTCACAGGAAACTTAATGAAGAAATACTTCTGTATAAGTGCTTTGAGTTTCCAAGGGACTACTTAGTTTCTCTTGCATCTAATAGAAGAAGGTGACAGATTTTTAAGGGTAGCAAATTTTGTCTCTCCCGAGTTCATTTCAGCGTAAATACGGAACACACTCAGCCTCTTCTCCTGCGTCACAATGCAGCCCACATGGTGCATTCACGACGCTCAGCCCTGCAGAATTACTGTGATGCCGCCGGTGACTCACACAGTCAAGGTTTTCTAATGATGAATACGTCCTGCGGTATAAAATCAAGCTTTCATGCTAAATAATATTCACTTTCGGTGTTGAAGACTTGCTATTCCTTCACAGAGACAAGCGTGATTAACCTTCGTACATGAATTAAAGCGTAATCCAGCTCGGCATTATTAGGATTATTCAATCCCCCCCTCCCCCTTAGACGTGTGCAGTAAATGGTGAAATGTTACTGCAGATGTGACAGACATGTTCTTTAGAGAGATGGGATCAGGTGAAGTGTATGACAGCTGCAAACTTTTTCCCCTGCACTGGCTTTGGCAAATGCTTAGGATGTGATGCAGGAATGATGCAAACTGTTTTAGGACATGACTGGTTTAGCAAATAGGGATGATAAAAGACGTAGACACAGGCACAAACCTGGTCTGTGAGGATTCGAGGCTTAATATCAGGAATGGCACCCCCTCTCAGCTCATCTTCCACAGCCATGAGTCTGACAACAGGGAAATACAAACAAACAAACCGGTTGACAAAAATAGAATCATGAAGCCGGTGTTCTTTTCAAAATTTAATGTAGGATTATGCGGCCATATGATGATATTAAGGTCTTGACATGTTTCTGGGTACGCTCAGCTATCCTCAGAGCTTCTTGAAGCTGAATGTGAACTTCCTTCAGAACTGCTGAGGCCGTTCAAATTCAGCTGTTCAGATACAGAACTTGTGAAATGAGTGTGTGCAGGATTTTAAAGTGTGCACCCATCTGCTGGGTTTTGTGTTCAGAGATTGACAGTTTTCACTTAACCAAAGGAGGCTCTCTATCAAATGTAAAAAATGTGGCCTCTATAAACTCCAGTTATAGAAAATGTTGGCTTTTAAAAAAACAATGAAGTGACTTGCTCTACGTGGTCTACATTGGTTGGGACTCCCAATTTGCCCCATTAAACATGTCCATCCTGTTGCAGCAGCTCAATAATAATAATCCTGGCTTAATTTTTTTGCTCTTTGAGAAAGTTTTTCAAATATGCTACAACAAATCCCCTTAATTTGAAACTTACCCTTGTGAACTTTTTCAAGTTTGTGAATTTTAATGAGTCTCATTTAAAGGAATAGTTCCACATTTCAGGAAATATGCTCATTTGCTTGGTCTCTGGGAGTTGGATAGGAAGACTAATTCCATTTCTTTTTTCCATGTAAAAATACCTACTGGAGTTTTCCCCCACTATGGGTGCCTAATAAGTGCGTCCCCTGTCCTATTGTTTTGATTATTGAACTACTTGCGTTGACACAACGGCCATATTCAGTGAAAATTGAGTACAACATAGTCGCACAATGATTTCTGAAAACCTGCAAAAGAAAATGCCAGATAAAGTGCCTCCATCCTCTACTGCTATGATGATAACAGTAGATGCATTAAATCAACAGCTTTTATATCTGATTCTCAAGTCCAATGAAGTCAAACTGTTCTAGAAGAAGTCACAACAATTGAAATATGTAATAAACTTCTCTTGCATCATACTTTTACATTTGAAGATAACTATGAGGAGGTGCACCAAATCATGGCCATGTATAAGCTAAGTTAACATGATACATATCACTATGTTAACTGTGCCTTTTTTTTGCTCATGTTAGCATAAACAGCATCAGCACCCATAAAGCTCAGTAATCAGAATATCACATCCTGCTTGCTTCAGTCAGACATAAACAGAAATGTCCAATCAGTGGTTCCAGAGGGGGGTTTAATCATTTTAAAAGTGGTAGCAGCCAGGCAACCTGTTTATACTTTGCTTCCATATCTTATGCTAAGCTATGCTAATTTTCTATTCCACAGCATATACTGAATATGAGGATGGAATTATCACTTACTCAACTCTTAGGGAGACAGCAAATAAGCATATAACCACAAACATCTCCCTATTTCTTTAAAGAATGGATACATATGACATCATGCGAGTTGTTTTCTGTATTTTACAGACTTTTATTTTGTAAACAATTTTTTTTTTAGTCTAAAAGTGAATTTCCTAAAGACAAGAGGGACAGCTGTGTCCGAGCAGTTAGACAAAAGACTGATTTCAAGATTTCTAGAAAATAACTAAAACACCTCATTCAATTACTGCGTCTGAATTTTCCTGCCGTAATGTTGCATCACTTTTTGTAGAAGTCAAACATTTGCTTTCACTGCAGCGAACACTACTTTACTCTACTTTACAAGCTGCAGATTGTTTTCATGTAGTGAATATGAAATGCCTAACCCAGCTGTGTGTAGAGCATACATTTGAATAATATTGTGGATTTCTAATAGAATAGATAAAACTGATTATTATTTTAAACTAGGTTAGTAGCAACTTTTGTGTGAAAGGTTTGATGAAGTAGAAAAAGCAGTGATTGTGCACGGCCTCATTTCTGACAGCTCCGGTTGGAGCCGAAACTAATCACCTGTTGATGATGCCTTTGATTTGGGAGTCCTTCTCCACTTGCTGCTGCTTCAGGCGCCGCTCGCTGTCTTCCAGCCGGTTCTGATACTGCAGCAGGATCTTGCTCGTCTGCTGTTCCTGTGACACAAGCCTGTGCTCGTACTCTTCAAGCTTACGATGAGACATCTTCAGCCGCTCCTTCAACGAATGGATCTCATCTTCGTACTCTTTTACCTGCAATAAAAAAAACAAAGTCACGTCACCTGTGCTGTCACGCTGAAGTTCAGACAAATGTTTCTGGAGTGATGAGGGATTTTAAGTGATACAGACAATGCTCTGCTGTGCAGCTCTTTTTGTGCCAAGCAGCAAGTGAAATAATTGTGCAGAGGAAGTGTGGTAGGCTTCAATGTGTGCAATCAACGATTTCCATGCTCTGCACCAAGACGTGTGTTTCTAATATAGACAGGAGTGTAGGAGTTGTACATGATAGCAAAAGCACCACAGAAGAGAGGAGGCTGACACAGTGAAGAACGGTGATTGTTCTCATGTGCGTTCGTCTGCTTAACCTAGCTTTACATGTACCATATCAGCAGTTAATAAACACATAGACATCTGAATTTGTGCATGGATGAGTCAGCAGCTTATAGCTTCAGCGTATGTTTATGATTAATAAATGTGTTTCCTGCAATCAGAGCCAGTATGTGTGTTCTTCCCTTATGTCATAATTGCAGCCATGTTTCACTTGATCATATCTGTTCCTGTTATTTATTTATGTGGCATCATGCAGACTAATCAACACCGACCTTTAACTGCATCCGTGCAAATGTGCATATGGCTAATCTGCGGCTGTAGTTCCCCCCACGTGATGTGTTTTCACATGACAAGTTGATATGGCTTTGCAAGCTTAAAATGCTTCAGCATGAAAAATATGAAGGAAACGTTGGATTTTAAGATTTGTGGTTTTAATATGTGATGAAGCTTTGCAGATAAACTGTCATTGTCTGACATGAGACATGAGTTCTTTTGTTGCAGGCTACACTAACATGTGCTAACTTAAGCTGCTCTGAGATAGTGGGTGTTTGTGTCTCTCTTCTCTCAGGTGAATTCTTGTTGTTTGTAGCTGTGTATGCCTGTTTGTTGTGCACTCTAACTTGGAGCATTTCTAATTTCATTGTGCAATTGTTTAAGAACAATAAAGGCTTTCTATGTCTTCTATTCTTTCTGTTGCTGACATAAGCTGAGAGATCCTTATCCTAAAATGTGTTGTCAGAAAATAAACTGAATCAATACTCTGGTTTTGTGTTCATAAACTTTACATTCATGTCACAGGTACATTGTCCTGTGATTTATATGGAATCAAACTGTTACCACTTCAGAGTCACAGCTATCACCATGCTAAACTCTTAAAAGAAGAACAGAATAGTATTTTCATACCATTATATGTGATGTATATATTCACAGGAAGAATCTACATGGTGGGTAGTAAGAAATAAAATGTGCTGACCCTCTCCAGTCTAGACTCATCCATGCTCTTTGAATACTCCTTCAGCTGGCCCTCTCGGTCCGGCCGCAGGCTCTCAATGTCAGCAGAGAGATGTGGCATGTTGGACACCCAGGCCACTGTCCGCTCATTGAGGGCTGATGTGTTCAATGTTGACTGGGAACCCTGAAAAAAAAAACACATGGATAAGTCAAGCTTGAAATGTATTCCTTCATGTTAAGAGTTCAAATAAAACATTTTTATACAGTTTCGGGAAAAGCGTGGTATCTACATTGACCTGTTTATTGCCTGGTTTGAGCAAATGCTGCTGCGGCGGCTGCAGCTGTGCCTGAGACTTCTTGGTACTTTTGGTTGGTGTGTCTGTCGACACCTCTGCAGCCGCTGATGGACCCTGGTTCTCTTTGGCTGAGCTCGTCTGGTACGGGAGCCCGGGAGCTGGACTGTCAGTGACAGATAGCTGTGCGTCCTGTTGTTGCTGTTGCTGCTGCTGCTGTTGCTGTTGTTGCTGCTGCAGCTGCTGCTGCTGCTGCTGCAGCTGCTGTTGAAGCTGCTGTTGCAGCTGCTGCTGCTGTTGTTGCTGTTGCGAAGGCTGCTGAGTGGTGCGCTGCTTAGGCTGACTGCCACTGAAGTTGGTGTCAGAGGAGTCGAGGAGGAGGTTCCTGCTCTGCGGGCGAACCTTCGGAGGAGTGGCAGTGGCTGGAGTGTTGATGGAGCGCTGTGACTTGAGGTGTTGTTGGCGGACAGGATGAACTGTAGTGGCGGTGTGGCCAAAGAGGCGGGGGTACCCGTGCCGGTGGCTGTCTGCGCAGCAACTCCCATCATATGCTGCTGCTGGAGGGACTCCTGAGAGGAGAGAAAGGGAAGTGGTGAAGTGGCAGAGAAAATGGAAACTGTCGAGTAAATTTAATTCATAAAAAGGAAAGACAAAGTCTAGTGCAGAATTTAAAAAATACATACATTTAATACAAACAATTAAACGCTCCATAGTGGTGACATTTCTGAAAATTTTAATTTAAAAAAAAATTAAGAATTCAATTTGAAAGAATCTGCAAATGGATAAGAGGGGAGGATGAAGGGACAAGCAAGACAATCTGTAAATAAATAGATAGATAGATAAATAGATAGATAGATAGATAGATAGATACTGTGGATGGATAGATGGATAGAATCCATCTGCATTAATAATCAGCAGACTTGTGATGTTTGTTCCATTGAAGCCCACGCAGCCGGACAGAAATAGCTCCAGAATACATGACTGTTTAATTAAACGCGTTACTTTTTCAAGGACATGCTGTAGTAAAGTTCTGCAGCCTCTGAGTACTCCATCAGGTCAAAGCCAGGCCATTGTCTCATTAAAACGTGTTCTAAGAACTACAAGAATCCTACTGATGAGACTTCATCAAGCAAGTGACAGTTTAATTAAAGTCTAAAATCTACATTTTAAAGTTATCTCATTAAAATGTGCTTCAAAGCAGGTCGTGATTACGCAGTCTTTCAGAAAACGTCTTTGTCGAGGAGTTCTGAGATCAGATTTTCAGCTTTGTTCAAATAAGGACACGCAGCATGATTGATGTCAAAAACCTGACACAGTCCAGTCAATAATCCTGCTTCAGTGTGCAAACCAAGTATCCCTTCCATTTTCAACTTCCCCTGATTAAAAAGAGAACCATTTTGTAACCTGACAACCAGTCTTAATCCTGAAAAAAACCTGAAGTGCCAGCAGGTAACGAGTGGATCTGAATTCAGTGATTGAGGCAGAGACAGTTTTTGGATGTTCAGCTGTGGTGTGAAAAATCACACTAAGAATAACTGACAGGACTCTCAAATGTGCGAGTCAGTTTGAACCCAGATCTTTAAAGAACACTGAACAAATGAGAAGCTGGCTGTGACTTCCCTCGTCATTCTCTCTCTTGTAGTGATCAAACTGTGTTTTTATGACATTTGACTGATAACTAAAATAAAAGTGAAGAAGAAGAGCGAGGAGATCTACTTGTACGTGTGACATTGAATAAGTCCAAAGGAGTTTAGAGGCATACTTTCAGTTTCTAGAAATGGATTTGAGTTTAACACCAAGTTTGAGCCGTTCCATAAAGACATTTTTCTTGGTCAATGTAAGATCCAGATTTTTTTTTCTGTATCTATGCTTCTCTTATGTTTTGAATACTACACTTACATCAAATACAGTATTTATTTTCAACCTCATCAGCCACTTTTAGCAGTTTAAATATAAGTTGTCACATTAGTCTGTCCTAAACCAAATCCTAGGTCATAATTACAACAAAACATTTAAAGACGCAGGATTTACTTGTATTTAAGTACTAAATGGTTCATTCAGCCTCATGTCATCTGCTTTTATTGGGGTGCAAAGACCTGCTAAGATTTTGCAGATGAATCCACTGAGGCAATGAAAAAACTACAAAGTTTTATAATTTTGCATCACTATAGAAAAACCATAGCAACCAGGTGAAAAAAATGCAGGCAGCACTCTACCAATCAGATATGTTCAGCCCCTTTCGGCCAAACCAAGCCAGTTTCTGTGCTGTTGGAAAGTATTACCACCCTGAGAAGATAGCTTCTGGGGGGCAAAAAAATAAAAGTCGCTGAACGTTAATTTGATCTCGGCCAGTTGGGAAAAGTTTATTGCAGGGACTGTGATTTATTTATTCACAGCTCTGTTAAGGCTTTTAAAAAAGTATTAAACCTCAGAGAGGGAGAATCTAGACGGGCATGGCATTCAAACCAAAAACTATCTTAATTACAAAATTGATATTTCCAGATTCCCTATAGGCCGAGGATACTAGCAATCAGTAAAAAAGCTTAAGATATAAACTTAGTTCCACATTTATTAGGCACACCCAGTTATATGTAGTACTAATGGATAGAAAAGTCCTGTTCAGCTGCTCATGTTCTACAAATAGTCTTCAGCATAGAGATGGTTTGGTGTTACAAATTCATGTCTAAAATCTGTGATGAGTGTTTCACCTCTGACATTATACTGCAGATTCCCAAAGAAGATAGGAAGGGCATCTACACATAAAATAACAGATTCTGAACAGCTCAAGCGCGAGAGTCACCTGTGCAGATAAAATGGTAAGGAAAAGGTTTGCAGCACAGATCTCGTTATCAACTGCAAGTATTGTTAATATGAGAATATATTTATTTTATTTTATTTTATTTTATTTTATTTTATTTTATTTTATTTTATTTTATTTTATTTGTTTCCTGTCAAAGCATCTTTCCTGTCAAAGCGTCTTTGAGTATTTAGATAGAAATCTATTTTTTTTAAATTATATTTATATATATATTATTATAATTTAAATCTTTTAAGCACAGAAAAGTTATTTTGGTAACAGTAATCCGTCTCTGTAACATTTCAAATGTGCAGATGAGTGAGAGCTTCCTACCTGCACCTGCAGAGACAGCTGGTGCCATGCAAAGTCGTTGTTCTGATTCTGCCGGGTGAAGTCATCGCTGTAGCTGTGTGAGTGAACAATGCTGGGCTGCACCAGACTGCTCTGCGACCGCAGGCCCGACAGGTCCTCACTGCGGGAGAAGGCGTTGTTGCCAAAGGCCGGCTGGTAGTCATGGTGGCCGTTCTCGGGCTCAGGGGCGAGGAGCAGGGGAGGAGGGTGAGGCTGAGACTGAGCCGGGGAGTTCTGGGCGGCCAGATGGAACAGCGGGTTTTGGAAAGACAGCGGGAAGTTCATGGCCGCTGCCGCCTGCTGCTGCTGTTGGGAGATGGATTCTGTGGGACCCCCTATGTGGCCCATCTGGCTCAGCCTCAAGCCGGAGCCAGCCGAGCCCGCTGGCATGTGCCCCCCCATACGCAGAGGGCCGCAGAGGTTCCCAAAGCTGTGGCCCAGGCCGGCGATGGAAGCCTGAGAGGAAGTGAGCATGTCTCCCACAGAGTTCAGGTTGGAAATGCTGTTCATGCGGGAGTCCTGAAGGTCCATCATGGACACACTTTTATTCACGCTGTGGACCTGAGAGAGACAAGATTAACAAAGTTACTTCTTTAAGGACATAGATCATGACTAAGAGAACACACATGACTCTTCTCTAAATCTCTGTGCATTTTTTACAAGTTGAATTAAAATGATTTAGGCCGCCAAATGCATTCATAAAGTAATTCCAAACCAGTGTTTTATTTAGGATTTGTAATTAGGTTATTCCATTAAGCTTATCTTCCATGGTTTAGTGTTCAAATCTTTGTTTTTTTTAATATCCAGACATAAACCAGGGAACAGAAACAGAATTTAAATCAAACTTTTACATGACGTCTTTACTTCAATACCTTTGGATCAGGCTCAGTGATGTCGGAGCTGCTCGTGCAGTAGGCGGGGCTGGATCGAGCCAGCGGTGGGCGGGTCACATAGAACACTTCCCTCGATGAGCGGAGGTCCCGTTCCGCTTGACGCCTCATGTTCAGGTTGGACGAGAGAGATTCTACAGCTGAGACTCCAGTGGTTGGGGACGGCAGGCGTGATATGTCTATTGAGCTGCAGAATACACAACAGGAAGACACGTTACAAACTTCAACAATGACTCATAGATATAATGTACTTGACTATATTTTACAATGTGTATGGGCAATATGGAGTGTAACACAAATGTATTTTTATATCTTTATAAGAACAGTGAAAGTGGCGATTTATCAGAAAAGGAGGGGAGAGAAAAAGAGATAAGATGCTTCTAAGGACCCTGACCAAAGAGACACCAGGTACAGTGTGGATGGACTTTAAACTGCAATATCAGAATGAATGCAAAGACGCCATTAGAGAAATTTGCCATGCTTTCAGTCTAAGCACACCTCAGTATGCTGCAACAAGTAAAAGGTGATGTGTTGGCTTTGAGCATGTAATGTAGACCTATAGAATATGGCAATAATAAGAGAATACTGTTTACTGTGTTGTCCATTAAAAAGTCTGGAAGGGCAGTACAGCATTTCTTGACAAATTTATCTTACAGGATGATAAGAGATGAAATAAAGGATGAGGAGTGGAAAGTTACGATTTTTTTTTTTTTTTGATGGGAGCGAGCAGCGATGCAGTCTGGAAAAACTGATATGTCTTTCAAACCATGACTGCATTCTGAATGATTGATGAGCTGCTGGGTTTGATGAAAAAAAAAATGTCTTTGCAGGTGGAGGTGATAAGGTGCATCATGCGGAACACATATCATGTGGAACTGCATTCACGCACCCAGTGGAGAGCAGTTCAATCAAAAGATGGATTTAAAGAGAGGCCAGAAATGATGGAGCAGAATTCAACAAAGATTAGAGAACAACCTCTTTTTATATCTATTATTCGTATTATTTTAGGACCCCTACCATTGATTCTACATTATTTTAGCTATTTGCAGTTTTCTCTTCATAATGAAGCTCATAAGAATACCACAGAATCCTGCACACTGTCAGTCATTTTTACTCTCATCCACCGAGTTTTTGATCCTTTTCCACCTGTCTTCAGTATATTTCCAAGGACTACAAAGGCTTTATTATGTAATTGTTGCATTATGAAACAAAAGGAAAAACCCAGCTAGAGAAGGGCCCGTCTCCATCCTGTCAGTCACTCTTAGCCTGATACCTCTGGGCTTTGAGCCACGAGGATAGACAGCTGTGTTAAAGGATTGAATCACTGACCATTCTCATAAGAATTTACAGACATTTGATGTTTACCACTTTTTAAGTCTTTGTCTTTCATAAACACATTTAATAATGCAGATTTGGTAACAAACAGGCTGGTGTTTGGTAGGAGGGACTTCGAGCATGAAACATAAATAGCAGCAGCAGAGTCCTCTGATAATACCTCCTCTGTTTTTGCCTTCCTTAAAGAGTTCTTATTTAGACTATTAGGCTGTAATGAGAGCATGTCTTGTCTCTTGACAATAGCAGAGACTGGAAATGTATTAAAGCACAGAGCAAAGGGGTTTTGGTAAGGGAGTCTGGGAACAGATGGTGCTAGCAATTACTGATTGATAAAATACTTAAAAAGCCTGAAGAGGTGCATTAGTGTTAGCATTAAGGGCTCTTAGAAATACACGAGGGCTTTGTTTTCGGCTCCGGAATTCTCACTTAGTGTAAGATGTTAATGTGTCATCACTGATTACACCTTTAGTGAAAGTCAAAAATAATCCTCTTCGTATACTCAAAAGTAAAGTGAAGCTGTCGTTGAAATGCTTAGTGGAGAAGTGACAACAAAATACAAAGTAAAGTATTGGGAACATACCTATTCAAGTCCCGCATCATAAGGCTTTGGAAGTCGGAGGACATGAGACGATTGAAAGATGGCCGTGAGAAGAGTCGGTCCTTCGGTCGCTCAGGCTGGTGATTTGTAGGCATGTGCAGCTGCGGGTTCCTCAGGGCGACGCTGATGTCATTCAGCAGCCGCGGTAGGGGTCCAAGTTTCAGTATAGCATCCTACAACGAGGAAAGGGTTTCAAAATATAAGGGAATCGTAAGCTTCCTTTCCCAACCTTTTTAGAACCAGCTGACATTTTAATACCAGTGGGCCTCGTTCACCAACAATTCTTAAGAAGTGATAGTGATTTAAAGAGAGGCCAGAAATGATGGAGCATGGATTGATGGTGATATAATCTGATGTATCTTTTTAAAGTGCATATTATGTATCCACTACTGTCGCTACTAAATATCATGAACTTTAATCAGCCTGTTTGGATTTCGTTTGGGTTTCGTTTGGAGCGGCACTTCATCCACTTTAAAACCACTTCAGTATTTTTAACCTGAATCTTTTAATTCAGGTATTCCCGTCGTCTCTCTACTTCTCTCTTCGATCCGGTGAAAATTCTGTGCGAGTGGTGTGTGCCCTGCAGGCTCATGCCCTTATATGGGCATAAAGGGGTGTTTCTCTGATGCTAATTAGGAAAAACAAGAGCAGCATCTAGTTAGGGCAAACATGGCATTTAAGACCACAAGTGCAAACAATTCCACTGTTTCAGAACACGTCATGAATCAGACGTAGGTTTTATTTTTTAGGAAGAATTTAAGAAAACTATGAAGAAGATGTCGATGAATGAGGCCATGTACAACTTGAGATAGGACATCAATCAAAAAGGAGGGTAAAATAAAAGATGAAAGTGATCATCTCCTGTACTGATGACCTACTTTAGTTCAAAGTCATAATTCTGTTGTTCCAGACTTGAGGGGGGGGGGGGGGGCATAGTGAATGATGAATCACAGACAATGTGACTCTGCCAAGTTCAAGGTAATTACTGAACAAATAGCCTGTGATGGCCTATGATCATAAATGCCATCTTATATTATCATTATTATGATAATAATGATCTGATCCAAACTGATGGATAGGTATCACAGCCGACCTTATTACGAAGACTGGATGTCTGCCAGATGACGCCAATTTCACCCCCCCCCCCCCCATTATTTTCTAATAGGTTTCACCTTTCTGCTTCATTCATAAAGTCCTGAGCGGAAAAAAGAGTTGAAGGTACAGCTGATCATTACTGCTTTACAAGGATTTTAAGAAAGGTTTGATCACAGCAGTCCTGGTGAGCAAACCATTTTCTGAACTTTTTTATCTGTAGGTTGTTTAAAAAAGTTGCATGGGAAAACATTTGCTACATGTTATTAATTTAAATTTCATTTGCGGATAGGAAGATGTGGCACTGAGTGTTGCCAGATAATCTATTGTCTCTCTCTTCTGATTCTGATTACCATTTTTATTCAATTATATCATAAACTTTAATCTTAGCTTACAGAATTTGTTTGGAGAAAAGAAGCTGGACAAGTATCTCCAAACAAACCATTAATGTGCATTTTTCCCCCACTAAATCCCAGTGTTAAGTGCTAAGGGTTCAGCAGTAAACACTCTGTGCCCCAGGGCGTTGAAAGCCTCAAGCTTTATACAGTATAATCCCCAAATTCATTCAGACAACATAGAAAAGGTCTCTAATAAAATTTGCAATTTAACAGCACATGGTGTAACACATCTTTTAGCTCAACATAAAATATGTATCACTTTCATTATAATACTACTACAGCACAGTTCTAATGAATTCACTGTGCAAGCACTAGAGTTAAATATTTAAGTATTAATTCCAACAAAGTTTTAATGGAGTTCAAATAATATTAATCCTGAGCCTGACTGATAGAAAAGAAAGCCATTCTCCGACTCTGCACTCTTAACTTAGAAGAATCATATTGTATTACTAATGTGTTTTTTTTCCCCCACCTACCTTGCTAAGCTGGCCCATGACCTCCCACAGTAAGCTGTGCAGCATCGACAGCTCCCGGCCCAGGTCGATGTAGCCCTCAAACCCTCCGGCGTTTCCTCCGGTGTCCATGTTGGAAATCTCATAGAGGAACTGCTGCATGGAGCCCCACTCCATCTCCAGGAACTCATTCATGAAATACATGTACTCCTCCTTCGGTCCAAATCTGCAGAGGCAGAAATGACAGGAACATGAAAGCAGAGAAGAAGATGGAAATGTACTGTAGAGTGCAGAGTGGAAGTGTGTAATGCTTAAAGGGTAAAGAATTTAATGTTGTCATGATGAAAAAGGCGCATTAACAGTTTCCCCAACTCTTACAGCGCTGCAAGCATTTAGTTTGGTTGTAGAAAGGATTACATGCCCATTTTGAGTCATATATTTTTTATAACATAGACATGTGACTGAACATGTAAGATAGAAAAACATGCTCATTCATTTCCAGGTTTAAATCATTTAAACTGTTCAGGTTTGTCATGAGCATGTGTTGTTGATGTTTGTCTTTTTAAACAGTCTGAGTTACTTTCACAGTATCACAACCTTTGTTTGGTATGTGGTTTCCCGTTCAGTGTACCTGCTGGATTTAGCATCTACGTCTTGTTATGGTCAAATTAAAAGACAGCTTTCTTTCCCTGTTTTAAATGGTTAAAAGACACAGTTTTCTACCTGTACATTGAAGGATTTTTTTTTTAAACATTTCTGGGGGTATTTTTTCCTTTATTTTATAGGACAGCTGAATAGAAACGGAAAATGTTGGGAGAAGAGAGTGGGACAAAGAGTCGAGGTCAGATTCGACCTAAGGCTTCTGCGATGAGGACTTAATCCTCTGTGCATGGTGCATACGACATAACCGCTATCTGGCGCCCCGCAAGTTTTACAACATCCAAGGACCTTTGATGGTTAAAGCGATGCAAAGGAACTTACTGTACTGGGTGCTTTGTATTGAACTGTATTGAAGTGCACTGTGTTTTGACCAATGCAAATCTTGGCTCTCATGCCTCCCTCTTGGGCCTCCCTCAACCTGGCTCTGTCTTGGTTTAAATGACTCTATATGTGAACTTCAATCCACTTATGGAAACTGTCAATCATGATTTTGAAATGACTTCTGATGGCAGTTTTTTCTCTAATTTTCCATCAACTTCCTTTTCACACCTGTTAATGTTGTTATGTTGATCTGATCTTGTTTTATGTATTTGATGCTAGAAAACAAAGCAAGCTCAGTTCTGAAAACCTTGATTAAAAAAATGTTTTAATATAAAATGGTAAAATTGTTTTTAAATTCATAAAAAAAGTGAAGGAACAAATGTGTCATAGCTGAAAGCCTTGAGCTCACTGTAGGTCAGTAACAGTTTATACATCCTATACATTTGTGATGTGACTGTGATAGTTTTCCTACGTAACACAAGCATCAGTGTCGATAAATCTGAAATTAAAATGACCGTTAATTCTTAAATTAATTTGACCTTGTCACTGGTGTGAAAGAGCATGCTATGGCAGAGACTCACTTGCTGAAGCTGGCCAGGTTTTGCATCACCTTGGCGATGAGTGTGAGTGTGCGGGACGTGCGTTCAGCGGGGTACTCCTGCATCAGATTGAACAGGGACGGGGACATGATGGCCGGGCACATGAAGCGCAGAAACAGGGAGGAGCTGATGAGGCTGTCTGCCAGATCCTCTCTGCCACGCTCAGCACATCTGGCTCTCCACGAGGCGAACACTTCCTTCAGCTCGCGGGGAAATATGCTGAAACAAAAAAAGATGGTGTTACACACTGCAGAGGGGAGCGGCAAGAGAAGAACACAGTGGCTTAACTAAAGCCAGTCATGAATTCAAGCAAGCTTCTATCCTCTGCTCAGCATGGATTGGGACTGTGACTCTATTTATTAAACCATCTTTCATGATATCCATACATTTGACTATTTCAATCATTTGCACAAAGAAAGCTTCAAATATCATGTTCATAATGGAGTCAGGTATGGGTGTCAACTGGAAAGTAAAAATGTTATTTAAAGTCTTTATATGCGATTTTTCAAACTTAAATGTAATAGAAATCAAGTATATCCTCTGAAAATAACTCTGTGAGTCATGACTGTCTACAATGGGTGTAACACCCGAGTCCCACTGTCTGTGATGTTTTCAGAGTTTTCAGAGTCCTATCTTCACTTTGTTTACATCGCCCGGACGGCGGCTGACTCCTCCCCTCGTGTATAAAAGTTGTTTAATTGAGGGACTAGAGAAAAGAAGAATAACATACTGTACTCACTGCTTAACTGTGTTTCTAGATCACGCTCATTTCAGGTAAATTTACATGCAGTGTGAAGATACGAACATAATAAAGATCGCTAGCATTAGCATGCTAACACAACAATGCAGCGCGAGTTGTTTTGGTTTCATGCTGGTGCTCAAGGGCGACATCTGCTGGATCAAAAAATCACATATAAAGCCTTTAAAGCTCAAATTTAAAAACCGAAAGCTTGAACTTTAAGTATGAAAAAATCAAAATATAGTGCAAGTTTTTTTCTCTAACCCTTTTTACTTTAAATTATACATACTGTATATCTTTTCAGAATAAAGAATATTGCTCCTCTGGTTCTTTTTCTATGTTATATATTTTAACTCTTTAGGCTTGGGATCATCAATAATATAGTTTAATTAACACTGAAACCTTGGATCAATCATTCTACCTTCAGGAAACAAGGGAACAGGAAAAGGAGAGTCTCAAAGTCTTCACTCTACTGTATTAAAGTCACTCACGACAAAAAAGGACACCAGAAAGTAATGGTCCTGATCAATACAGATGAATAACAGACAAATGCACACAGTTCTCTGAGAGGTATTGATGGTAAAAAACTGACCAGAGAGAGTTGATTATCTTGCAGAGTAACAGCTCACAACACATGCGCAGGTTGGCTTGATGGTCGGCGAGGACTGAAGGCGGGACTCGCATGGGATCCACCTCACAGTTTTCCTCAGACTCATATAAGGCTCGGACGAAGTCGCCTGCCAGTTTGAAGTCACACTCAGTCATCATGTTTTTCAAAAACAATTCTGCTGTTCACATGGATCTAGACAATACAGTTGTGTTTCTCCTGCCCACTGTCATATGAATTATTATACATTTAAATAATGCCTATATGAGGCGGTGGAGTGAGATGAACACATACATACATTTAAAATGTCATCTGTTATAAATGAGATAAAACCTGAAAAATGACATGTCCATTTAGTTTAGCTTATTTACGGTAATTGTTCATTTAAAAAAAAAAAAAAATACACCTGCTTGATGCAGTGACATTTTAAAACAAATATCTCAAAAATGACTGGTCCCACACTGAAGAGGAATACTTTTAGAGGACGTCAGAAATATATTTCAAAACGTGGATCACACTATTTGAACATTAAACAACACTGAAACGTAGCCTGCTCTAGAACACTCGTATTTGTTTTGAGCTTTGAGTAGCACTTTCCTGCAGGCAGCTGGAGATAACACACAAACAATGACGCCTCACCTATAGCATCTTTGAGGTATCTGTGACCTATCAGTTTGAGGTACTCTTCCACGGCCTTTGTGGCCAGCGTGTTCTCACGAAAGATCAAGTGCTCGCGGTCCATGAATCGATCCACTTCGCACATCGCCATGTCGGACAGGAATTCCTAAAAGAGATTACACTTGTTCATCATACAGAGAGCTGAGAGACTGAGGCAGGGATGATTTACTGGAACACGGCTCGCAGTCGAGTAACATCTGACCCCTTGTTTACCTTTGTCTTCCCTGTGCTCTGCAGGATGTGCACCAGAGCAAACGCCACCTCCTCTTTGCTCTTCACACTCAGCAGAGGCTCCAGGACTGCACACAATGTCCGGTAGTTGTTGGTGATGTACTCCGCAAACTCCTTATACAGCTCCATCGGGAGGATGTTCATTGTCTGGTAGCGAGACTTGACGCGCAGAGAGGCGTTGATGACTTTTCCACTTCCGACGCCGCCGCTTTTGGCCAACACGCTGGACTGGATCACAGGGTACCACTGCTCCACAAACTGCCGGCCCGTGATGCTCGAGATGGGAATGCTGACAAGGCCAAGATATGTGCTTTTCTCCTAGATCAACATGAAAACAAGGTCATCTTAATCATTTTTTAGCATCAGATATTTTTTAAAAAGAGATCAATAAAGAATGTAGTAGCTACCTTGCGTTTTTTTTGTCAGTTTCCTTGTACAGGTGCAAACGAAGGCTACGGATGGTAGGCAAATTGTTAAATTCAAAATGCTCGCCCCAGAAGACGGTGTCTGTGCGGGGTTTGCTGGTGGTGCGTGCGTACAGCATGTCGTCCAGACACAGCTCACAATAGTAGCGTTTCTTAGCCGGAAGGTCTCGAGCTTCAATGATCCACAACTTGAGCACATTGTCGACCCGTCTGCTGTTATCCTGAAAACGAAACGGGGAGTCCTATTACTGCATTATAACAGTCCTTATCCTTGTTGGATCCAAATGTTTACACCCTGGATCTTGTGATGAAAAAGGCAGGTCACAGGGTGTTTGATAATTTGTGTCTTTGTGATTCAAAGTGACAAAAATCTCAGTATCTACCTTGTTAGGTTTGATAGCTCGTTGCAAATTTTCAATCCACTTGTCTCTCTCTGAAGCCGAGCGGCAGGCAAAACATTTTGTCCCTGAATTAGTCGTCACCTGAGGAAAAACTTAAGTGTTAGAGTGTTTCTTAGTTTAAAAAAATAACCTTAATAAGGCTGCAAAAAAAGCTGACCTTCTCTAGAAATAAATCTGTTGATCTCTATTTAGTCCAAAGCTGTAAATAATAATTTCAAAAGATTTGGTAATTTTGGCAATTACATTAAGAAACTTAATTTACCGTCATGTAAGGCAGAGGCAATACAGCATATTCTCACATTTATAAGCTGGAATCAGAGAATGTATTGGCTTGATATGAGACTAAAGACTTAAGAGGATTATGTGAATCAAAATTGTTCTCCATTGATTTTTAAATCACTCAGCTAATTCTTTCAGCCTGAATTTCTTCAAACACTAAAAGGCTTCATTTGTCAATATTTGGAGCAACGTAATAAGTGGCTTTGCAGTCGTACCGGATGTCTTTAAATGCTCTAAACATTTAAACAGACTTATTTATATTGGTTATTTGGTTAATAACGAATGAGTCTTTTAAACAACTAAGAGCACCTCAAAGCAGTACTCTTGTCCTAAAATGCTGGAGTGGACAGGCTTGATTATGGCCTCTTCATCCAAAACTAGGTCCAAAGCCTCAGCAGCACTGCTCGGAGAAAGCAAGGATTCATGGGAGTGTGACTCTTTGAAGCTCTGCATCAGTCGTGTCCTGGTGAAAGAGGGAAAAGAAAAAAACTTTAGATAATCATTGGACTGATAGTGATTTTATTAGTTGTTGGGTTTTTTTTTTTTTAAATAAGGTTTCCATATAACCAAAAAATGAATCACTGCAGCTCAGTAATCCTTGTGCATCACTGCTGCAATTTTTGGCTGATTTTTAGCTCTGATCCTTTTATAATGAGTTTATGTGAAAGATAAGACTACCAGATTTTCAGATCTGGTGCGTTGCAGCTTGGTATGTTGACTCGACACATGTGAATCACACTGCACGGTAGGAAAAAGCCTACAGTAATGCCTACTGTGTGATAGTAGAGAAATACAAACCAAGACGTGCAGTTCAGTGAGGCTAGTCTCCAAAAATAAATTAAAACTGTTGTGCAGTTATAATCTTTAGAAGAGGGCTGCTCTGTCAAGAAAAGGTTGTGGTGGAAATAGAAACAAAAATATGAGAGAAATCCTTCTTAATGGAGTACGGTCAGTCAGTAAAGTAGCCAATTGAAAGAAAATGTAGCAGGATATCCCTTTTTTTCCAGAGTCACATGAGAAGATTGTTCCCATTTTATTTACTAGAATAAAGTATTGAGCTTTGGACAGCAGTTGATTAGATAGCTTAGCATAAAGGCTGAGAGTAAAGGCAGCTATGTCTGGTTATGTTTCCATATTTTTATTTTACACTCAAAATACACTTAGACATTTTTGTTTTTTATTTCACATTTTTGTTTGCCACATACAAAGCTATAACCAGCAGTTATTTAGCTTAGTTAAACATAAAGAGTAAAAAGACAGAGCTAGGTTTGTTCTGTCAAATTTCCCTATTCATATTTATGAAAATATTTTTGAAATAACTTCTTGAAATACACTATCCTGCTAAAACATTGAAGAGATCATAATGACACCCTCAGTTGTGTCCATCAAATATAAAGCTAAAACAGGCAGATGTTTGGCTATACTAAGCTAAAATAGTTGAAACAAGGGGGAACAAGCCAGCAAGGCGCTCTCCAATGTTGACCAAGCATACAGTTTAAAGCTTATAAAAAGTTTGTATTTTCTTTAGACTTTATGAGCTGGAATTGTAATAATCCCCCAGAAAGTTGAATGTTTTCTTTATAATAGTCTGTAACTGTTTTTGAAACATAAAGAACTTAAAATGTTGAGGTTATCTGCACTGAAAGCTGTAGCTAGCATGCATCATAGTTAAATCATTAGTACATTTTCCAAAATTTAGCTTATAAGTTAGCTTTCTTTCTGCAAATAATACAGGAAAATCAATATCACTATTTTTTGTTAATTAAATTAAAGCTCCAACTATCAGCAGTTTAGCTTAACGTACAAAATGTAAAACAAGGAGAAAAAGCAAGTCTGGCACTTTTTAAAGACAATACCCCTACCACAACCTTTAGATTACCAAAATCAACATGTTCTGTAAGATTTTCAAAGGAAATATATGTTATATGCCACAAAACTTGAGTTGTAGAAGCATGGAAGGCATATTGCCCTTGTTCAAGTACAGAATCAAGCTAGCTGTTTTGCCCCTTTCCAACCTTCATGTTGAGTTAGCTAGTAAGCTGCTGGCTCTGGCTATAGGAACAAATTAGAAAGTGGTATAATTCTTCTTATCTGACATCTTGTAAAAAAAAAATGCGTAATTGAAATAAAGTTTATTTAGACATTTCTGAAACTAAGATTTGTTGAAGAAGTAATTATAAATGTGGATATCATCTCCACTGAAAAGCTAGCTAGCAAGCTGCACATTGTTGGCTTTAAACATGAAAGAGAGAAAATGAAGAGAAGAGAAAAGCTGCAGCTTTGAAGAAAACACCTGATAATAATTATGCAGCAAATGAGGAGCACTAATTTAAGGGCAGATTTAATGTTGTTGAGAGGTGCAGAGATGTGTCTACTTTGAGGAGCTAACAGTACATAGAAAATGCGTTGGTACACCGACTTGGCAGAAGAGGTAGAGCAGCTGCGTTGGAACGCTAGAGTGTGAGGTTGGACGTGGAGGGTTTATAGCAAAGTCAACTTAACAGTACCGAGTGAATTAAGCGTGTGTGTGGCAGAACTCAAAGCAGGCTGTGAAGGCAGCTGTCTGAGGCAGCGGTGGGAGCTGGAGATGTGGTAAGGGGGGAACACACTGACTGAGGCATAAGTCTCTTTAACCCCGACACCATTAAGCTACCCCCACTGCCTCCATCAGCGCTGGCTCTACTGAACCCATTTGGGTTTATATATAATTCATTTAAACGTTTGAACTGGGCTTCTGCTTTGGCTCACCATGCATTTTAGAACAAAGGATTCTAAACATGCCGTACTAAATTGTTCGTCTCTGAGTCTCGGACATCCACACCTTGCTTAAAAATGTCTATTATGCATCTCCTGTGGTGAGAGGAAAGTGTACCGTCAGCATTACTGTTTTACTTTCTGCCACTCTTTACGTTTCCCATAGGAGAATCGTGTCTGGATTATGTGAAGACTGCATAAAATTTTGATCAGAATGCAAGCAGGGATCTTATGGGATGTGACCTCGAGTCAGAATACCAAACAAGAAAACACTCTCACAAGAGCCTCGAGACCTTCAAGCTACTATAACATTAAACAGATCTTTGAAAATAAAATATTTTACCAAAATAAAATGTATTTAAAAAAAAAATCCCTTAGTGAACTAATGAAAAGTTAAACTATGACATTGACTCCAAACAACAGTTTTTAAACTGACAAGGTACTAAGCCTTATAGGATGAAGTTCAGAATGATTTAAAATAAAAATGGTGGCAGTCTGCTTGAGGGTTGTATGGTGACAGCGGTAATGAATGTCCGACATGCCCAAGGTGCTACAAATAAAATAAAATGAAAACTAAATTAAAAACGAAAGCGTTATTTATTCAAATAGTTGTATGTGTTTATGTCAGCATACAGGTGCTACTGCTTTCAGCTATGTAATTATACAGTTTAATATGCCTCCACCTTTAGCCTTCACTTGGCCTCTCCTTTCGAGTTCACTTGTAATGTGTGACAGCTTCAATGGGAGCAGTGCTGCTTTTAATATCAATAAAATTAATATGTTTAGTCACTGGCTGAAAGCTCTGAATGTCTAAATAAGGGCAACGTCCTTTATTCTGGGAGGCTTTGCTTTCATCACAGTGGTTAATAAGAAGCCACAGTACAGGCCAGATTTAGATTAATCCTGTTTGTGTTTCAGCCAAAAAGTAGCTCTTGGGCTATTCTTTTGAGAAAATAAAATCTTCAGAAAATAATGCTTTGATAGCTTAGGGACTAGTACAAACACTTATCCAACATTGTGTAAATTGTGCTGACTGGCTAGCTAACCGGAAACAGATAGTGATGATTTCAAAAACATTGAAATCCCCAGACTCTTTCCAATTCTATGTTAAAAAAAAAAAAATATATATATATATATATATATATATATATATATATATATATATATATATATATATCCTTAAATTGTTGCAAATTGTTACAATAGATAGTCATTCAGAGAGTGCTTAACCCCTCCCCCACCTATCTTTACTTCAGAATGACTCAACCATCCTCGGATGTTTTTTTTATACCAAATATATCACCAACCTGCTGCCAGTTAACCTTATTAACTGTGAGATGTTCCATCAGGTGTTTCTGAAGTGTTTCACAACCTTTCTAGTTCTTTGATGTTACCACTGTCCCAACTTATTCCGAACGTGTTGCTGGCTTCAAATTTTAAATTGACTTAAACATTCCCAAAATACAATACCATTTCTCAGTTTCAGTGTCAGTGTCACGTCTTCGTGCTATTGCAACACTCTAGCCATACTGTTGTGAGTCACTGTGCCTCATATCCAGTGATTTAAGCACCTATATAAGTAATGTTTGTGTGTTTGCTCGTCTTTTTTCTATTCCAATTAAATCTGGGGTTTCGATGTTTTGTAAATCAACAGAATCAATTCCTTTTTACATTTTACACAGCTCCCCAGCTGATTTGGAAACAGGGTTGTTTATCTTCTCTAGCTCTCTACAGCTATGTATTCACTTTACTTTGCTTCTTCAGTTCTGTTATCTGTTTACTGAAACTTTAAAGAAACCATCACAAGATGACCTCACGGGAAACATGAAAAATAAATTACTGAATGAGATTTGAAGCCAATATTACCAAACATGAGCTTCTAGTCAAACAAGATCACGTAAGGCTTTATCAACCAAAAAAACAGCCAGGACGAGAACACTTTAGAGCTGTTAGTGTCAGCATTGGGAGGCTGGTTATACTGTACACTATAATTACAGTACACAATGAGCCTGTCCCACAACAAGAAGCAACCTTAAAAGCTGTGTGTTGAAGTTAGCATTGTTCTGGCTCAGGCTATAAAAGGAAGCTTTCAACAGCAAAAGAGAGATTTTTTAAGAAGGTAAGACTACTGAGGGCGTTTTGTACAGTGTGCTGGTCTGCGTTCACGTTAGTAACATCGTTCTGTGCCCGAGTACAGCACAGACTTCATAAATCCTCTGAGCTGCACGGTAGATGTGGAGGTAGGAAGAGGGTCGTTGTTGGCATCTCATAAATAACAAAAACATCTGCAGCCGGTTGCCATGGTTGCTTCTTCTTCATTCTGCTTTTTGGCGGATTTGCAAACCAACTATGTGCTACTGCCCCCTACTGTGTACATAAGAAAGCCGTCGTCATATAGCGATCCACTTCCTTGTTAGAGCACAGTTGCGTTCACATCACATCGGGCACAGTACCCGTGTACTGTACAAGAATTGTACGTCTGTGTTCACACTAATCAAATGAACCGGACTTATAAGCGTACTTGGATCCGGGCCTGGGTTCCTCGTGTGAAACCACATCCAGACCAGAAAGCAGCGTATCAACAATTCTACAAGTCAAGATTTGATTATTGGAGATTGAAAAGAGTGCAAAGCTTAAAATTGTGTAAGTGATTGTTACACAACTTTGGGCAGCAGTACCTCAGTCCACATCGGGCCTTGGGTTCAAGTCCCGATGTGGACCAAGTCTGGAAATGGAACTAGTAGCTCACTAGTTCACTTCCTGAGCACTGCAATGTATTTCAACCTTTGTGTGTGTAGCATGTTCAATAACAAAGTGGATAATTGAATTTCCCCTCTTGGGATTAAAGTATATCTTCTTCTTCTTTTGTTTAAATAATAATAATAATAATAATAATAATAATAATATCAAAGTTGTAATTGCTCTCTGATTCTGCCAGTAAGGAGTTTGAATATTCTCCGTGGGATTGTGTGGGTTTCCGCCGGGTGCTCCAGCTTCCTCCCACAGTCTAAGATCATTATCTAAAGGAACAACGAATCCATGATGTAACCCGTTTGAGGTTTTGTTTTGTCTAATCACATCACTTATGCATGAGCACAAACTGTAACATACATGCAATCAGCATGTTTTCTGTCCACTGATAACAGACACCTTTGAACCTAATGCTCTCAGACAATTTGGGAATTTTAATGGGAATATTATAAGAACAAACTAAATAAATATTAAAACGTATTTTTTAAAAGGATAAATGGAACCACAGGCTTTCAAACCTATCATACCATGTACAGTATATCAGGTGTAGAAGCCATTCTAATCATGGTCCATTTCATTAAATGAATAAAATAAGAAACTTGTATTGATTATTATCTTTATTCATTTATTTGTACATTTTTGGGGGAAAATATTTTTGATCGTGTTTATAGTTCAGATTTGGGGATATTCAGTTTGGATGTTATCACGGAAATAATGGAAAGTCTTGAGTGAAATAAACGGAGAATGAAGTCAACAGATCCTGGAGTAATGATTTATTTGTGGACACGCATCAGAATTGAGCAACATGGTGGTTCCGACGCTCTGACATTTGAAACACCTTTTCCGGAAATTGGCACTACATGAGGTAAAATTTGAACATAGGCATATATCTGTTAGAACTGTGATAAACTGGGAATCCTGTTCACAGGGATTCCTGGCTTTTGCCCAACAAATCCCGGGACAGGTTCCAACCCCAATGTGACACTGAATCAGAATTACCTCGGCTTTGCCTTGAAACTGAATGAATGTTACTACGGTAAAGGTTCCTTACCGCTCTTGGTCGGCACTACGAAACCGGGGCAGAATCATTTGTCTGAAGCTGCTGGTCCGGTCCAGTTTGGGCTGACTTTTGGCCCTCTTGATGGAGCCCTTCAGCCTCCGATTGAGAAAACTCTGAAGATTCAACAAGGACATAAAAGAAAAAGGAGAATACAATTCATGAAATTATAAAGAATTAAAAACACTCCTCCTATAGTTCTGAAAATGAAGACAATGAAGAACAGCACTGTACTCACCGGCTGTCTGAAGGGCTGAGGGGTGGCATTCGGAGGAGTTTCCATGCTTGACTGCCTTACAGAGGCAAAACTTGCCCTGCGAGATTGGTCTAAGGGAACAGAAGTGCAGCAAAAAACAAATCATTAAGTAAGAATATGGACATTACTTCCAGAAAACCTTTATGTCTTTATGTCTTTGTCCATTTCTTTTTCATAATAACTTTTTGTCCCTTTTTAGGTTTTTCCCCCCTGAATTTGATTCCATATGTAGCCTCAATAAACATGTAGAACACTGTAATGTTTTTTTGAAGATGAACGGTGCAAATTATTAGTGAGTCCGACTAATACAATGCAGTGTGTACGTTTATCTTGCTGTTAATTCATCTCGGGCTGTTGCAGAGTACATTTCCATCTGATTTTCAAAGACTGAGCTGATTTAAAAATGATTGTTCTTCCAAAATAATGTCAATTATCATGACCTCTTTATGTCAATGGGTCATATGTCATACATGAAAAGATAGAGAGTCTGTTTTTCATTTTACAACAAGGTTATTTTGTACAAAACTCGGTAACGATTGATTAAAATATCTTTGAGATTTCCACTTATGTTAGAGTGAAAATTAACTCTGAATGAAGTCACCAAAGGAATAAAAACAGATGATGTTGTAATAGTCATGACATCATGATTGATGATTATTGCATCATTTTTCTTTTTCGTTATATTTATTTTAATCTTGTACATTTTTAATTTCAATACAATTTAAAATCTTTGCACTCTTTATGACCACTTAAGTACATTTTGACTCGTAACAACAACTTTCATTACCTTGCATCTGCCTTAGTCACAAATAGAAAGAGGGATGGTATTAGAAAAAGCATTACCAACACACAATAATCACAAACAAGCCTCCAGCACATCAACAATGCAGAATAGTCAATTTAAGCAAAGCTCACCAACAAGAACAGACAGCTACAGCCTCGGAAAAAAAAGCACAAATAACAACACTGTGACAGACTGAAAGACACTTGGACTGGGACTATTCATCTGCTCCTCAAGTGGAAGAACTTTTACATCCAAGGCCAGAGGAAAATGCATAAAAAAAACCTGAAGTGCAATCTGTACTGGACTCATATATTCTTAAGAAGTAACAAGTACTTCTGAGTCACATTGAACTTGTTTGACTTTGGGCTTGTGCAAACTCTTGGACATGTAGCTGGATTTATAAAAGTATAGACAGGCGTCCATGGGGAAACTTATCTGAAGCTTTATGTACACTTCTCTTTGTTGGCTAGAAAACATGACGTCAATGCACCGAGAAAAAGCATCCTTAAGAGACATCCACCACAAACATCTTATAAAGCCTCACCTCTTTAGGAGTATTTTAAAAAAGCAGACACTGGAATATATATGTTCATATGTATGAGTCATTTTGAACAGAGTGCATTTACTCTGCTGTTTCACTATTTCTATATAAGACTATTGGACAAATCTAAGTTTAGTAGGTCAGCTAAAGCCTGGGAACACATTCGCCTACATTCTTTACTAATTCACTGTCTACACGCATAAATAATGGTGGCAGGAAAATTGTTACATGCCTGACTGGGGTTGACAACGCTGTATAAGTTGCTATAAATCTCGTTAAAGAAATATAAATTCTTATGTAACAAATGCCTTTGATTGAGATGAAAAAGTCTGCTCTGTCTTCTAGGACAAACCAACAAAATAACACCCTACTTTACTAGAAATCAGATAGCAAACAAGATGTAAGGCAGGATGACATTTATTTCGTGTGATTATCAAGATACCTCTCCAGCTAAACACAATCCATGAGGGAGTAATGAGAGCAATAAAAAGGGCAAACACGCATGATAAAAGGTCAAATCCGAAAGGACAATTTTGTGCTATATTAATCTTTTAGAGTCTTGACATTTTTTTAAAGAGATTTTTTTCTTCAGAATCCAATTCCATACATTGATAAGTGTCAGAGTTTTATCTATAAGGACCCTTGTGTTGCATTAAGTGGTATCTATACTTGTGAAGCCAGATTGGACCGAACTGATAACCACTCAACCCAACCATGCAGCTAAATTATAAATCTTGAATTGGTGAAGGCATATAAAGTCTTTCAAATGAAGAGGTTAAGATAATGCCAGGATAAGCCTATCAGAGGTAGATTAGGGGGATATGTTTTTATAAAGTACATTCCTATTTTCAGGTGCTTATACACCAAAGAAAAAAGACTTAAGAATATCATAGTTTTTCATTCCTGCCATGGATACCCCTACATCTAACACATTTGGTGCTTTAAACACAAAAACGTGACAGTAGTCTCTTGTTGGTATTCATCCTCCTCTTCTATTTTTGTCTGCGATTGATCCGTTGGAGCTATTTATTCAGAAATTACCCATTACCCAGAGGAGCTGCTTTTTATCCCTCTGCAACAGAGAATCAAGACACTCTGTCATCCTATGATTTCCTCGCTCCCAAAGCCTGTAAATAGGCGACTCTCCAGGTCCTATTCTGAATCCCAGCTAATTGTTTGGTATCCATGGAAACAACTCCAAGGGCTTCTGCTTGAACTGAAGAAGATATTGGCACACAACAGCACAATAAAGATGATGAAAAACGCTAAGTAATATTCTGCACAAACCCGGTGGTTCTGGTAACGTGAATGTAGGTTAACTAATAAGAAGACCTATCGGCTGCCCACGAGGTGAATCTTTCCCAAACTGAAGGAAATGTTTCAGTTTCTTTGTGTTTCATCAGAGGCAGAGCTACATCGATCGATCGAAAGGATCCTGCACAGAAACATGTAGCATCATGTTTCCAGTTTTTTCCACATCATCTCCACTGGAAACAGTCACCTGCTACATGTGGTGCTTTAAGTAAACGTGACATATTCAAAGAACACATGGATGCGTTCACATTGGCTATTCTAAATGTAAATTGCTGTCAGGATGGAGTGTGTGGGTGGCTACAGCCTCCAGCTAACTGTGATACAGAGGGAGAGAAAGACAGAAAGAGGAAGACTGTGAGTGGGAGTAGGAGAAACATACTCAACCTTTAGCATATATATCTCTATTAATACACATTTGGAAATGTTGTTTTCTTCTTAATAAATTGATTAGAGCCTAACCTTTTTCAGGGCATTGATTGTTTTTTGTTATTGGCAGAAAATTGATGCAGTACAAGGATGTAATGTGCCAGCCCTCAAACTAAGAGACTGCAATGAAAGCAGGCCAACTAAAGTCAAAGTATGAAGGTTTTTTTTCTTTAATAACAATGAAAACTTTAAAAAAGATGTGCTTTACTATAATAGAAGAAACAGACTGACTTAGCAACAATACTGATTTAATATAACGAACATTTTGGTATCAAGTAGAACAATTACATGAATCAATCAATCCACAGTACATAAACATGCTGGATCAGTATTAATCTATAATTTCAGGTCGCATTATGATTTAAATGTATTTGCCAACTCATATTTACCAACAGAACTATCCCTGGATCCCAGAATGGCTGCTCCGTTTTCATTTACGTGGACAAAAGCCATGCTAGCTCTGCTGCTAGGCTGTACATTGGCACTACAGTCATTTAAAGCTAAATGCTAACACCTCTGTGTCCTCCTTGACCCAAAGAACTTAAGCAGGTTTTTAGCGTATACTGTATTCACAATGGATTAGGTAAGAAAAAGTTACTAAATTGAGAATAAATGTATAAACCTGGAGGGTCAATTTGATGTTTATGTCATTTTTCTCCTAAAATAAAATGTATGAATGAGTGTTTACCATGGTCACCAACAGTCATGTATAATGACTTCTGCAGACAACTTTTATAACCAAAAGCACTGGTAGAATAGAAAGTTTGGCCTGATGAAGTAATTACACTTGATGTTTAATGAATTTCAGTTCCAAATATCATGAAAATCAACCCCGTAGACGTTTCAGTCAGTAGGAATTGATCACTTTAGAAAAACTGTCTGCACAATATTCAATGGCAAGCAATCAATTGAATGGTTGGGACAGCACTCACATGACTTCAGGTATCCGAGGTAAGGAATCTATTTGTTCACTTGAAGACGCATTCTATCAATCAGAAATAGCTAAAGATTCAATGTGAACAACTTTCCACACTAACAATTGATTTAATGTGTCAAGAAACCAATTCTGAAAATGTAACTGCAGACAAATTTGAATTTAAATACAAAGTTCAATTTTGATGCTTTTAATGATGCGACTTCACATAAAAAACTACTACATTTACAATTAGCAATAAAAGCACACTTAATCATCATTTGCATTTTCAATCGTGATAAGAATCTGCATCTTTTATAGAACTAAATGGGACTGTTTACTCTGACAGGCTACTTTTTCAGGCTGTTTTGTGTCACGTGTGTGTGTGTGTGTGTGTGTGTGTGTGTGTGTGTGTGTGTGTGTGTGTGTGTACGTAACCTAAGTCACTGAGTGGAAGCTGAGGCTAATGGGAAAACTGAGTGACCTTGATTTTTTTTTCAATTGTTCTTACAGTGAAGGAGCATTTCAGTTCACCTTGGAGTGACAGGGTTTCCAGGAACAGATTACATACACACACACACACACACACACACACACACACACACACACACACACACACACACACACACACACACACACACACACACACACACACACACACACACTTTGGGATATCTGGTCATAGCATCTGACAACGAGGAGCCCTGGTGACTCACAGGCAGGCCTGCTTGGGGCAGATGTCGCATTCCTGTCATATGGAAGTCTCTATAATTACCACATATCAACTAGTAAATACTGTTCATGTCAACAACAGAATGTTAATTAATGCCAGAGCCCAATTTAATGCTGTAGTGAGAATGTGCACTTTAGACCTCAC